TACTGCTTTTAGTTGTAGTACAAAGTTTGTCATAATTCATGCATTCTTAATCTTCTTTCCTCTTTTTTTTTTTTTTTTTTTTTTCACACTAAAGTATTTTGAAGTTTATGATAATTTACTAAATGTAATCCAATTTTTGACTTTGCCAAAAAAATGCAAAAAAAAAAAATAATTTAATTTATATTATAACACTAAATTAATTAGACATATGCATGACATTGCTGGAAATTTAATTTATCATCAGTTTATTAGGTTTAATTTTACGTTAATTTACACAGTCCTTACGATATACTAAACAATGTTTCAAATATGCATTCATAATGTTTAGATATTTTATTTGTTTGGAAATTCTAACAATAAAAAAGTGACAGAGAGAGAGAGAGGGAAAAAAAGTGATGTAAATCATTTTTCATACAAATTTTAATGCAGTGGATCTAATGTTAAAATAGATAAAATAAAAAAACAAACAAAAAAAGAAGTGATAACGAGAATGAAACGATCAGAAAGTGTTTGCTTGTTGAAAATATAATAATTTTATTTCATTGTCGATTACTAATATTACTGACAAAATTCTACCTTTTTTTTGATTTTTAATATTTCCTGCATTAATCAAAATTATTTATGATGAATCAATTTTGAGGTGAAAAAAAATTTAATTACTTTAATTATCAATTGCACTTGTAAAAGATGAAAAAAACATTTTTTTTTTTTTTTTATCAAACTGCTTTTTTGCTAAAAACCTTATTTTTTTTAAAAAATAATACAAAGTGAAACTTTTTTATGTCAAACATATCACTTTTTTTTTTATCATTTTCAACTAATAACAAATATAAATAATAACATCAGATGAAAGTTTAAATTTGTAAACCAATATATAATACCTATCTATTAAATGATAGTTGATATTCAGTTATTTAATAAGCTAACTCATCATTATCAATCATCTTTTAAAAAAGTAATAATAATGACTAAAGCTTATGGAAGAAATTGAGGTGTTTTTGAAATCTTATCGTAATTAATTTTAATCATGAAAATTTCAAAATTTTTCAGCCAGAAAAATACGTTTTTTTTTTTTTTTTTTTTACTTCGGTTATTTTAATTTTTTTCTGTAAATATATGCCTGCTGCTTCTGCTACTGCTCTTTTCAATTTCCGACATATCATCAACTTATACAATCAAGAAAATGATGCATTTCCAAAACAAGCAACTTTTCAGAAATGTTATGATTGGTTTTTTTTTTTTTTTTTCGATTTCTTTACTCCTTTTATTATTTAATGAAAACATACCCAAAAGATGCTTATAGTTACAATATAGCATTTTCTAAATCGATTGAATTCCTGAAACTCTTTATCAAATAATAGATGAACTTTTTATCAATAATATCATTCGAATATTACCGTTCAAAAATCTCGAACTATTGTAGATTTGAAAAAATAGTAGATTTTGATAATTATATTTCCTGCTTTTAATTGTAATTGGTTTAAATGATATGGTTAGATGATTATATAATTTCTATATAATTTATCGATTTGTTTTAAAATGATTTGCAAATGTTCAAATTAAAAATAAAACCATTGAAAATGAAATCAAAAGTGAAAATGATTCATTTCATTTCATTTGATTTCTCATCATACCTTCTATAGATAATGAAATTTATTGATTTTAGGTTGGGATTGATTGTGGCAAAGTGGAGAAAATGGATTTGTAATTATTTAACTTTTTCTTCTCTTTTCAATTTTCCTTATAGTGTTTCATTTTAATTCATTTAAATTAAAAATTTGTCAAAAAACCAAATATTGATAAGGTTTCTTTATAAAACAAATAAATATAAACAAATAAACAAATAAGTAAAAATAAATAATAAATATATATATATATATATTTTTTTTGATGGAATTTCAATCAGTGATATTCTTAAGAGACAGGTTAAAAAAAATAAATTTAGACAGATTACATATTTAGGTAACATTCTTTAACAGGCCAATGTTACGCATCATTAGTTGGTAACTCACGGTTAATTATCCTTGACATACAGTAAAACTTTGATTTATGCCGAACTTCAATTTCTAGGATAAGAAATGAAAAAGAGAATGAATCACTGATAATTAAGGTTTAAAAAAAAAAGAAAAAAAAAACTCTCAATAATTTATGTAAACATTTCAATAATGTGTAAAATATTATTGAGTTGATAACGATTTATGTTGATGATATTATAGTTTGATTTGACAAAGCTACGAACCATATGTTTCATTTTTCATCTTTCATCTCTAGCTTATATCTACCAGATTTTTTAAAGATTTTATGATAAATTAGATTCCATGATAAATTATATTTCAATTTAAACTTTGTGATAAATTGTATTTTTTTAAATGATCAATTACAATCAGAAAATTTTAAGATTTAATAATACAATAGGAAAAATATTGCTAAGGATTGTTAATTTTGTCAATTCATTTTCTGTATAAATATCATACTTTGTTAGAATTAATGAAATTATTTGTAATTAATAAAAATATCATTTTTTATGCCTTGTTTAAAAATTACTTGTGCATCGTGTTTTTAAATAAGTCTCTTATTTTTTCTCGTCTTCTACTACAAGAATGATTTTACGATCAATTTAAAATTGTTATATTGTAACTGAAAATTAACTACAAATATGCAATTTAAAAACTTCCTAATACGCTAAGTAAACGATTAAATTTGAAAACAAATGAAGAAAAAGTTTAGCTGTGGAAGAGATGATGTAAAGCATAAATGATTAAGCATCTTCTTATTTCTCTCTCTCTCTCTCTCTCTTTCTCTCCCTTTCTTTGGAAGAAAGAAAGAAAAATTTTGTGCAATAAAATTTTTTTAAAGAAATGATTGGAAAAAAAAAAGAAGGTAAATGATGGGTAAAGATAAATAATGAGGTAAATATTTGCATTTTTTTTTCTATCTATAACAAGTTCCAGTTTTTATTAAACATTTAAATAAAAATATGTATGTGCTACTTTTGAAGCAATCTTTTCTAATTACTTAATTAAACAAAACTAATGTTTATTGCTTAATCACTAGCTTTAGAGCATGTAGGAAATCTATTTACCGCTAATTACTTTTGCGTATTAATTTTATTACATTCATATTTCTTCGATTTGATGTTATGTTTATTATTTTGATGAAATGAAATTTTTTAATTTCAATTACTACTGCTATTGCTTCAATTCCTCATATCTTAGTTATTTGGATTTCTTTTTTTCCAGTTTTCGCTATCTTGATTAGATTTTGTTAAAAGTAGTTCCAGTTGTACTAGTAATAATAACAGTAGTAATAGTAATAGTTATAGTAATACTATCATTTATTATTGCATAACGAATATATGCTATTTTTATTGAAATTTTGTAAAAAAAAAAATCTATATATAAAAGAAATTTCGCATTTCTAGATGATTCTAATAATGATTTACCTCATTTTATTACAGTATCTCAAATATTTTAAAAGTTTCCAAAAAAAAAAGGAAAATATTTTTATAGAAGTGCACAATTGGTCCTATTATCATATAATTTTCACTAATAATTTAATTTCTATTAATATAGGATGGCAATATTTGATGAAAAATGATAAAAACTGTTAATCTATAAAGATTGTTTGCTAACATTTCATCGCTTCCCGAATTAAATGTTTCATTGCTTATTAAAACAAATTTGAGTAATAATATATTCTTTTTTATTTATACTGTTTAAAATAGCTTTAACAGAGAACAAAAAACTAAATTTTCTTGCTGTATATTAATTATGCTTTAAAATTAATTAAAAGCTTAGCGAATAAATTTAATGAATGAATCAACCATGATCCGTTTAAAAGAAAAGCATTAAATAGCATGAAAATTATTTTCACAAGAAAATACAAATGAAAATATGTAATAATTCATGCAAGATTTTTATCAATAAAACTTTTTCAAAAATTTTAAAACAACAAATCTCTACTAATTTTTTGTTGAACTTTAAAAAAACATTTGTCACACTTGATTGTTTTATCATTTTCTGGTTGTAATAAAACTATGTTGTAATTTAATATCATATTGAAAGTATTTTATTTCACTCCAGCAACTTTAAGTGCTTATTTTGTTTTTATATTTTACTTCATACATTTTAAGTTTATTTATTGATCGTCGTCAGTATATTATATATTTTCTTTGACAACACATTCTCATTTCTAGCTGTTAGGTGCCTTTTCGATCCATTTAGTAGCTTACTTAATATATTGAAAGTATACGATTTTACTTTGACAAAATTTGTGTTATTTTTTTTTTTTTTACTTCTTTTTTTTTTTTTTTTTTGTTAGTTTAGTTATTCGAGGTTCAACAATTTTAGCTTTTCCTCTTTACCTTCCGTTTTCATTTAATTATATTGTGTCATTTAATTTTGTCGATTTATTTTGGTTCTCTGCAATGAATTTGCACCAATCTGAGCAAAAGTTTATAAGAGTAACAAATTTTCATTTGCAAAAAGAAAAAAAAAAAAATGAAATAAATAAAAAAAAAAGTAAAGCTGCTTAGAAATATAATGGAAAGAAAAGAGAAACAGATCTATATGACACCTTTGATATTTTACACCTTCCGGAAATTTTAAACTGAAATTCATACAATATTTTTATTTTTATATTTTGTCACTTAATCATAATTTCTGTATAAATTTCACCTTTTTCTTTTCTCTCTCGCTCTCTCTTTATTTTCCTTCTTCCTTTTAAAAAATACTACATAGATTTTATTTCATTTCCAGAATCATAGAAAAAAAGACGAAAACAAAACAGTTTCAAAATCTTTTGTTGTTTAAGTGTTTGATGTTTATCATTTAGAAACTTTTGAAATTGTGCTAAGTTTATAAGCAAACTAATGTAGAAGTATTGTTTTTGCAGAAAAATCGATATGATGAAAGTAGTAATACCAGCTAATAGTTAAATTATTCAATAATTCATTTAAAAAAAAAAAAAAAAGAAAAAACTGAAAACTCTTAATAAATTATATGAAGAAAAATTTAATATTTGAAGTGTTTACCAATGTGATGGAATGCGAGGACACCTTAATAACCTCGGATAACCGAGAACGTTCATCACGATTTTTCAAAGCGCCACGAATTGGTTCACGTCGAATCCGTAATAGATTAGTACAGAAAGGTGGCATATGCAATATATCACTTGTTAATGTACCCAAACAACGGCGGAAATATTTCAGGTTTTTTTTTTTTTTTTATTACTTTTCTTTTTCTTCTTTCACTTTTCCTTCTGTCCCTACATCAATCTTCTTTGAGTGTATGACAAACAAAAAGGTTGAGACAAAAAATCTTCCAATGATGAACTACAAAATGAGATTTAAGTAAGGAAGCTTAATTGTTTTTTTTCGAATTATCCACATTTTAGCTTTAAATTGAATATACCATTATAATAAAATATGTTCTTGAAAAAATTCCAGGATTTTATTATCAAAAAAAAAAAAAATTACTGGCATCAGCTAGTAATTTTTTTTTTAGCTGATGCTAAAAAAAAGAAAAAAAAAATACTAGCTGATCAAGCAAAAGTTAGCTTAAGTTGATAGACACTTGACTAAGTGTAGTAGATAATAAAAAGGGTAGAGTTACTTAAAAACGAATAAATCCAAATAGAAATGATTCAAAAATATAATATTAAAAAAAAAACGGTAGATGGTACTAAAGACTGTATTTCTTTTTTTTTTGAATTCTTTCAATTTATGACAACATTTACTCAAATGAATATATATCTTTAAAAAAAAAAAAAAATTAATTACGAATTTCAACTCATTTATTATTTTTTATTGAATTAAATCTTCACAAATTTTTCAAGTGATATCTTTACGACAGTAATCGAAATTAGATGGCGTTGGACACTGTTATTCTTTGCAACATCATTCATCGCCTCATGGACCTTTTTCTTTTCTGTTTACTATTTCTTTACAACAATTCATGGTGATTTCGAGCATATAAACGATCCAAATTGGATTCCATGTATTATGAATGCTAATAGTAAAACAAATATCTTTTTATTTTCATTTACAACTCAAACAACAATTGGTTATGGTTTTAGGTTACCTTTTTTTTTTTTTTTTTTCATTCATATAAATTAATTTCCACTTAACAAATGTAAAAATTTTATGAATTCAAAAAAAGAAAGAAATATGAAATGTGCAAAGTGATTAGAAAAGTTTTTCATTTTAAATTTATTAGTTAACTTAACTCTACATCATTTTTTATTTCATTCCAATATAATTTCTTATAAAGAGATTTTGAAAAAAAAAAAGAATTTTTAAATTTAATTAGCTTCAAAATTTGCAACATTTTAGATATCCAACAACTGAGTGCCCATTAATTATTATAACAATGTGCCTTCAATTTATGGTTGGTGTTATGTGTCATACATTGATGACTGGTGTAATATTTGCTAAATTAGCAAGGCCTATCAAACGAGCTGCAACAATTATTTTCAGGTTATATTTCTAATCACAATATGATCTTAATTTGATTTTTGAAAACAAGGAAAAAAAAAATCGAAAAGTACAAAATATTGAAAAAAAAAAAAAAAGAAGTAGCAATTTTTTCACTTTGCTTGATAAAAATGGTTTAAAGGCCAAAAAAAAAAATTAAGTTTTTAAATTCAATGATAGAAACATAGAGTTGACAAAGCTGGAGAAAAATTGTTTCAAACTATTTCATTCTTCCTCTCGATATAATGCAACAATTGCCTGATCTCATTTTATTTATTTTGTTGTGTTGATCAAAAACCACTGAATTTTTATTTCTCCTCCTTTTTTTTTTTTACCTTTCTCTTCCAATTTTATTCATATTTTGGAAGAATGAAAAGAGAAAGAGATAGTGAAGAAAAAACAAGGAAGAAAGAATAAGGTAGCATTTAACTGCAAAAGTGTATTGCTTTTTTATTCATTTAAAATTCCCATTATTTAATTAGCAATGAGAATTTTTTAATTAGAAATAAATAATCTTTCGCATCTATTGTCCAGAATGATCTAAACTATTATTTCACTTATTTATTTGCATTAATTTATTAATACATTTCGGAATAGTTATGTTTTATCTTAAATTATTTGGTATTTTTCAACTTGTTAAAAATTTTTCTTATCAATGGCTGACTTTATTAATCAGTACGGAAGCAATCTAATTAATATTACTTTACGACAAGGCATTTTACCAAGTTAGTAATAACTTTATTGAAATAAAAATAAGAATGAAAATAAAAAGAAAATAGGTTCATGAACATTTGGAAATAATTTCTGTATGCAACACAATTTGAGTAACATTTGTTCCAGTAAAAATGCAGTAATCTGTATGCGAGATGGTAAATTGTGCCTACTTTTTCGGGTTGGTGATATGAGAAAAAGCTCATTAGCCGAAGCTCATGTTCGTTTACAGGTCAGTTTCTTAAAAAATCCAAATCAAATTTTTATCGGAAAAATAGGATGAATTCTATTGAGGCAATTTTAAAGAGTACCATTTTTTTTTTTTTTTTTTCTAAAAAAAGATAGTTAAAATTGACGCTAAAATGTCTTTTTTTTTTTTTTATATTTCTGTCTTTTAAAACTACTTTCTGACAAATTTCTGCATGTGGAAAATTTTCTTCTGTTTTTATTTTCCTTGTTTGTCTAAATTTACAACATATTTTATGCACATGAGGGATACATTAACTGATAAGTGAATTACTGCTTGCAAATTTCGCAAATGTTGTAGAAGTTTGTTGCAAAATTCAGAAACGTAAGATTTTTGAACATTCTCCATTAAATTATATCAAGTATTTTTGACAAGCTGAGTAACAGTTTCGGCGCCTGAAGAATAATTTTTTTAGATGATCAAGAAATGTATAACATATGAGGGAGAGCTGTTACCTTTCCATCAATTTGATATGGATGTTGGCTATGATACGGGCTTGGATCGTGTATTTGTCATTTGGCCAATAACAGTTTGTCATGAGATTGATGAGAATAGCCCGCTGTATGAAGTTAGCAAAGAAAGTTTACGTACTGCTCGATTTGAAATTATTGCTATTCTCGAAGGTGTTGTCGAATCGGTTGGTTCAACAACGCAAGCACGAACATCTTATTTACCTAATGAAATTTTATGGGGTAAACGGTAAGTTAAAAACGTTTTCATATGAATAAAGCAATGAATAATTTCTGTTGTTTGAAAGAAAAATGAAAAGTACTTATTTTGTTTTTATTACTTCATTAATTTGTTTTATTCATCTGTCTAACTTATTCATCTCCGCATGTCATTTTGTCTCTAATTACTTGCTAAAGTTAACTCTCATTATTTGCTGAAGTATCAAATTCGCTTATTTTTATTCACGATATTGTTAACAATTTAGAAATTCATATGCTTAGAAAAAAACTATGTAATAAGTATTGCTGATTTACTCTTTATCGATTCTTGCAAGGATGCAAACACCACTATATCAAATAAGCATAGTATTTTCCTACCTTCCCGGATGACCTAAGGTAATTACAAGAAAGCTCAAACCGCCGTTCTCCGAAGAGAACAGCACAACCAAAAAATAAAGGAACGGCCGGGCTGCAGTTTACCGACACCCTTGCTTTGTATTTAGGACATTAGCATGTGGCCTGCAGTTACATACATTCGACCAAACAAACACGAACAGAACAAACATTCCAAACAGACAGTCCAAACATCAACCATTCATACTCTGCTGCCACCCCAGGGATGAACACTTTCGATCCGGTAATCTTCTAGCAATGATGCCAGCTGTAAGCAAGTTGTTGTTATGCTCAGTAAGATTATGGGTGATATTATATGTCAGACAATCAAACAGATTGTATTGACTCATACAGTAAACAATCGCAATTCTTGAAGTTTCCTAAAAACTATTTGAATGACTAAAATTTCGTATTTGAGAAATTAACATCTGTCGTATTTTTCATCGATATGAGTCATATTTTTTGAAATTACAAAATCAAAAAAATTTAGCTCATTTTTTTTTCAGATTTTAAGATATCAGTGCAACTTTTAAGCAATATTTTTCCAGTTTTCCTCATTATCATAATTTTGCTTACAAATATTTAAATTTCAATATTTAAATGACAATATCAGAAATTAGAAATGTGAAAAGATTCAGATTAAAATTATAAATTGTGAATCATTCCCTTAGAAATTAATTTTACAGTTTTGAAAAGCTTGTAACATATCAACGTGATAATGGTGAATACAGGATTGATTTTGAAAAATTTCACAATGTTTATGATGTTGATACTCCACCGTGCTCAGCAAAAGAACTTGACAAGATGAGGGCAAGTAATTCTTTAATAATTGTTCAAATTAGATAAGGAGAATAAAGAATTTCTCATGACAGATTACCTGAAGTGAAAGCATTATAAGCATTGAGAATAAATAGATCGAGACTAGTATATTGAGAAAACCGAATGATAATATATAGTAGGTAATAGCCATCTTTATGGGTTTTTAATTAAAACCTGTGCAGAAATGCAAGAAATAATTTAAAAATAAAACTTTCCAAAAGCCTTAATTTGGAAATGTATTCTAATTGGAATATTTCAGGATCTTGGTTTAAAACCAGAGAATGCTTATCAAATAGCGCCTGATTTGAATGATAATTCGGCTGGAAGTTCACCGATTATTGCAATTCATCCGAAAGGTTCCAGTCCACGTCTATCCGTTTTATTGAGTAAAGGTGATAATGGCACCTTGCGTCATCCGGATAAAGTTGAAACGGATGATGAGGATAATGATCAGACAATTCATGTAAGTTTGGCATAATTTTGTTTTCAAAAAATATTCTCAATCCTTCAAAATAATTACATCTATTGTTTCAAAATTTTTAGCCGTGTAAACACGCAAATAAATGTTTTATTATTTCATCTGTTGGAAATTGTAAAAACACTTTGACAATTAATATATATCAAAACAAAGAAAAAAAAAGTGCTATTCCAGGTAGATGTTGGCTTACAACATAAGCGATCACTATTGACGCACGCTCAAAGTCCGGATATTTTAGCACGCCATAAACAATCAATAAGACGAGGTCCTGATCTTTTTTAAAAAAAATTATTTGCTATCATCTTTCATATGTTGCATTTTAATATACGGTATCCTTCCGTACATTCCTGCATTCTCTTTTAATATTACCACAGTGTATGATGAGAATAAACTACATTTTTTTTTTGTTTTATTCATTTAATGTTAATATTGTGTTTTACTTGAAATAAATAAATTTATATTTTAACATATATCATCAACAAAATGGGAGAGACGAGACGTAAAATCATTAAGGATTTATAATTATTCATTCGATACTTCTACTTTTCCTCAATAACCTAATACTTTGAACCAAATTATTCAGTGATTCACACTTAATGTGTAAAGTATTTGAAATGCTAGTAAGTACAATACAATAGCACTGTATTTTTCCAAAATGATTACAATTACTCATTAATCAACTTTTACTAAACCCAAACAGCGGGTAATTTATCCATAGTTAAGCAGTCAAAGCTCTCGAAAATATGTCCATTCATATATTATTATTATTATGCAATCACTGCCATTATTATTTTCAACTAAGTGATCGCAATGTTTTCAACTCATTAAGACCATTCTGATCGAAATCAGTAATAACAACTTCTGTCGATTTCAAAACCTAGTTGTTTTCTTGTTATTCGATCAAAATTATGCTTTCTGCACTCCGAATACTTTTAGATTGATTAGTGGATGATTAAAATTTGAATTATTGATGAAGTGGAAATGGACAAAACTGATTTCAAAATATGATAAATTTGATGGTTTAAAGTAAACACAGAATTTTTCAACGTGATTCTATCCATAAATATAGAACTTTTTTTTAATCTTTTTACTTATTGGAATATTGGAATAACGTGAAAATTTCGATGTATTTTCTCAAATGGTCTGCTTATTCTTTATACGGACAAATCAACACAAGTATGATATGATTAATCGAAATGAGCAATAGTGATATAATCATCTTTCTGATACTGATAGCATCATTCCGATATGGAAACGGAATCATTTTCAGCTTCATTGAATAGCGGATTAGAAGACAGCAATAATAGTGTTTCATGTTTGTCGGTTATCTCAGAAGATGATTCTTCTTCTTTAACAGCTAATGGAATTCGGACTGAAGTTTGTGAAGGGATCCTTTCCAATGCAAAAACTGAATGTTGAGAATGTTGTCTACCTAATCCAATACCTGTTACCGATATAAAGACTGCTCCTGAAATGTTTCATTTTAGGTGTAAAATTGTCTAAATAATAATTTTTAAATTAATGAAAATACATCAATTTTTGGACCAAAAAAAAGAAAGGTGTAATGGATCAAATCTTCCATCAAATTTTTTTCCTTTTTATTTCTTCCATTCATAATATTAAAAATACTTAATAACTTAATCACAATGTTATGAAATTTAATTAAAATCTAACCCAAACTATTTCGTGTTTTACGTAACGTAATATTTTCCGTCGAATTGTGCGTGATAGTTTTACTTTGACTATTCAGTTGTTGTTTCAATTCATCCTTTAAATGATGCTTCCTCTGTTTGGTTCTTTTTGATAGTACTGAGAAACAGACCACCAAATGATAATAGAAGAAGCATAGAGTAAAACGAACCTACAGATATTTAATTAAAAATTTTTGTAACTTATTTTAGCAAATAAAATTCCTAGCAATTATCATATTTAAACATATTTAAAATTCAAATTATAAATGAAAGAAGAAAAAACAAGGAAACATTAATGTCATTATATGAAAGTATGTTTGCAAAAAAAAAAAAAATTAATTCTAAAGTAAATAAAAAAAATTATTATTATAAAAAATGAAAAATTAATTCACCTCTCTTAAAATAATTTTATCATTAATTAAATAGATAGGAAAGCGTAAACTAGCAGCTAATATGGTAAGTAATGAAGAAACATCGGTTGCAATCGAATAAAATTCTTCCAATTGTAACAATGATGCATCATCCAAATATTCCCATGCAGCAATGAAAACATCAATAATATTTGAGCATAGATAACAGGTGACAACCATTATCAGTGATCTGGTGGCTGTTTTGACACGATTACGAAGTTTACATGATGCTACCCTCAAATTTATTCATCATTGTATAATAACATTCCTTTTTCTTTTAAATTTGTCTATCTTTTTTCGTATTAATTTTAAATTTTATCAATATTTTTTTTTTCGGCAAAAATAATTTTAATTTTGGAATATAAATTTTTTAGATTATTTCATTTAATCATATTTAATATTATGTATTTGAATAAAAAACGTTTTAAATTAAAAAAAAAAAAGGGTAATAAAAAGAAAAATTTTTGCCAGAAATTACCATTTTTTGAAATTTATTACTGCTTTTTTTTGATTTCAATTTCATACTCTTTTCTTCAAATACATAGCACAAAAAAAAAAGAAAAAAAAAACTATTAAAAGCAAACATGAGTTTCATTATACTAAAAAAATATATTAGTGCTAAAATATCTAAGCATATAAGCAAATAAATTGTTAGTTTTCCCATTTGAAAAACAAAACAAAAAAAGAAAATAATAATAGTAAATTTTGCTGTATGATGGTTGAAATTGTTTATGTTTGCAACCTGTTTTAATCAATAAACGAATCAAAATTTAATCTAAAAAATTTGTATTCCAAGTTATAACGAAAGTCAAAGGCTGTTGATTAGCATAAGAAAGAATGCAATTATCTGGCATAAGAAACGAGAGATGAACTATTAGTTGGAAAAATTTGTGGATTTTATTTTCCCAATTACTGGATGAAATCAATTCTGAATTTAAATTTTGAAGAAGAAAAAGATTTAAAATAGTTTTATTTGTCTCTCATTTGTCATTTCTATAGTATTGTTAGTAAGGCATTTAGTAACAAATTATTTCGTTCAGCTACAAAAAAAAAAAAAAGATAATAATAAAAAAGTAAAATAAAATTTGCAAATATTTTTCAGAAATTTTTGAAATTAAAAGTAGGAACAATTTACATTACAGAAAGAAAACTGATTTTTTTTTTTTTTTTTTTTTGTTGTTTTGAATAAAGCACAAATTGAAGTATTTATTTCTCAGCTCTTTTTTTTAATTCGAATTACTTTAAAATATGTGTAATTTATTTAAAACATTTCATTTATTTCATGAAATATATGCATTCATATGTGTTGAATCAGCATTAGCAAAAATTCGAATAATTTTGTTTGCATCTAATCATCATTACATTTTTACATGGAACGTAATCCATTTTAAAAATTTATTCCAAGCAAAAAAAAAAAAAAAAAAAAAACTAATAAGGAAATGTAATGCATTTTTTAATTATGAAATTATTTCTATTAAAATTGAATAATATGGATTCAATATAATTTAAGCAATGTATGGATAACGAATAATTTTTGCAATACTTAACATCATAAAATATTTATAATACTTTAAATATTTCAAATATAAAAATATTTTTAATAAATTTTGATTGGTTACTAAGTAATACTTAACTGATTGGTCAAAAAAAAGATAACTAAATAAGTAAACTTACGAAACCCCAAATATGCAATATAATATAAGCATTTTAATTGTATTTTCACGATTATTCTTTCGTAAATTAACTACAATAGCTGCATTGCAATATAATAGAACAAAAAATGGCAGAAATACGGTAGCAATACGTCTAGTCCAAAAGCGCCATATTCCATCATAATAAACATTACGCGCAAGTTCACTAATTTTTACACCCATACTTGCAAATCCTTCGCATTCTTCCAAATGATAAATCTGAGTTCCATTATTGTGCGGAAATTTTTTGAATTGGAAATTATATATCATTGAAAAAAAGAAGATAATAATTTAATAAAGCATATTATATATATATAGTAATTAAAAATTTTTTTCCTTTTTTTTTTTTTTTTTTTTGGAAGAGATGAAAGTTTTCATAAATTTAATTCTTTAGATACAAATATATATGATATGATATATTTCATTGATATAAAAAGGTATGATATGATAGTAAAATATATGAAATCATTTTTTAGTATGTTACATAAAGTGATCATGTTTCATAAAACAATTATTGATATTATAAGAATAATTTACTAGAAATTAGAAGTGCAATTATAAAAATGATTTAAAAATATATTTAACAAAAATCTTCCCATAAATATAGTTTAATAACTTGCCTGTATTTCGAAATAAATGGTACCACGAAATAAAACACCAAAAAGAAATGATATAATGATAATTTTTCCACGATGACGACAGAAAAATCGGAATATCATTATTGTCCTAAAAAATAAAAAATAAAAGAATTCTTTTTTAATTTTTAGGTTATATTTTTTTTTTAATTGATTTTTATGCCTTTTTTTTTTTTTTTACTAAAACAAATTTTTCTTTTTTTTTTTTATACTTAACTTCTGCTAGTGCCATTTTGTAGGTATCGTTCAAATGCAGCAGCCATAATAAGAAATGATACAGTGCATATTGCAATATGAGAAATAGCAAATGCCACCCTTAAATAATTATGCCAAAGACGAAATAGCGGGAAATAATGGAAATACTCTGCATATATCTAAATTAAAATTTAATTTAGTTTTCCTTTTCTTTTCTTTTCTGACTTAAATATTAATTAATTCAAGATTTAAATTTCAATAGCATAATAAATTAAGTGTAAAGAAAGGAGGAAAAAATAGACAATTACCTTATTTCTTTTGCAAATTTTTTCGTTTTTTTCCTTTTATAGCAAAATTAATAGAACCGAAAAAAAGAAAAGAAGCATCTCTTCACAATTTATTATTATTATTATTATTTTTTTATTCTTCTCTTAATAATTTAAATGATTTCTTCCTTTTTTTTCTACGTAAACGAAAAAAAAAAAGGAATTACCTGTATTGACATAATTTCGATATATGAAAAACAAATAAATATATCACAAGCACTGAGACATGTAAGATATAATAAATTCTTATTTCGTAATGCTTTTGAGCTTATAAATGTATAAAATACCAAAACATTCTCAAGAAAACCAATTATTGCTATTATTGTACCAATAACGCCTACCAGTATCATTTTAAAACTCTTAAATAGAAAATTATTTAATTGCATTAATATTAATGTGCAATAAAAACTGCATCATTTCTTTGTTTAATTTGCAAAAATCAAAATTTATTATTTGAATTACTTTCAGTGTTCTTTTTTTTTTCATTTTAATTGAACAATTATTATTAGTAATGAAATGAAGCAACAAACTAGGAAAAGCGGTGGATGTTCTTCACATTCCGGTTCATCATTTGACAATGTTGAGTTCTCCATTTAAACAATGATGTGTAATTTTTGATTTTGTTTATAAGTGAAATTATTAGAACCTAATATAATAATTAGATTATTTTGATACGGAAATAAAATGGAATAATTTAAAATGCTCAGTTTTCAACAAATCAAAATGGAAAAAATTATGAACTTTTAATTTTACTACTATTTTATCATTTTTTTTTTTTTCTGAAAAATTTAACTAACAGAAAATTTTTTTTCTGCATTTTTATGTTATAAAAATTGTAATGCACAAATATTTAAATAGCATTTATTATTATGAATAAGTGGAAGTGAATATTTGTATTACATTTCTTAGCATATAATTATTATTTAACTTTGTTGTAATTTATAGCATATCCTCTCTCACTCCTTTTTTTTTTCTTTGTATCTTTCTCTCTTTATTCAGAAAGCAAGATTGTCATTACATATAAATTTCCAACCAATGATTAAAAAATATTGGAATGTAATAATCATATATCAGATGTGATAAGGAAAGAACAGAACGAAGATATGAAAAGAGCTTTGAAGTGATAAATTGTATTGAAAATTTATTGATTATAAAATACAATATTATATTTTTATATTTTATTTAATGTAATTTTTAAGAAAAAAAAATATTTATATATTTATAGGTATCTTCTCTTACACTCTTAAATATTTCATTTTTATTTCACAAAATAAAAATATATTATATCGGAAAAAAAACTTTTCCTTGTTTATTATTTTAAATGGATATTTATTATTACTCGAGATAAATTTGTTACTCTAGTGAAGAGAATGCGGAAACAAATTAAAAAAAAAAAAAGGGGGTGAAAGATTACATTCTTCTTTTTTTAAATATATATATTCATTTATTTATTTATCATGATTCAATTAAAAATAAAACGAAAAAATATCGTGCCAACATAATTATTTGGCGAATTAATTTTATTGAATTTTTTTAAACAAAGAAATATGAAATGGAAAAGAAAATAACACGTTCGTGACTAAAAAATTGTAACCAAAATCCATGAAAAATAATTTTATTATTAAAAATGACTAATTTAAGAAACGAAAATAGTTTTCTCATCTAATTTACAAAATACTATTTTATCTATTATCATCATTTTGAAATATAATTAAATAACTAATATGAGTTTTTATTTACATTATACGGTGAAAAAAAAAAAAAAAATTAATGCGTGCAGATTTGTTTACTTAATAAATGAAATATTTTCTAATCTAAGTTCCATCTTCAAATATCCAAAATTGTTGGCGTCATTTTTTTCCTTTATATGCATTTATTATTTTTGTATTGTTTCCAAATTCGAATTAAGAATTTCGATACATCGAAATAACAGAAATTGAAATTTGTTTGGTTAACTGGAATTTATTTAAATTATTTGAAAGAATCACAATTTTTAGCAAATATTTTCTTAAAGTACGATAGTTTAAATATCACTAAATTGTCACTATAACATGCCTTACTGTTTCTAATATTTTGCTAATAGCTAATATTCATATCATTACCGTTTATTCTTTCACTTAAAATCTGTCAACTTAAATAAAAAAAAAAAAAAAGTAGAATGCTTGCTTTTACATCATATTGCTTCGAAAATTCTATTTCGTTATTATAGGATTAAGTGCATTTATTTCAAACAATCATCAATGAATAGAATGAAAAGTGAATTTTGATAAATAGTAACCTATTTAATCAAAGGAAAAAGCAAAAAAAAAAAAAAAAAAAAAAAAGGGAAAAAAGCAAAAAAAAATTATAGAAAACGATCAAATAAAATTCATTTTGTATTTATAATGCTATTTGTAAAAATATATTTTTAAAATATATTTAAAATAGTACAAAAGCTGACATGATAAAGTGCCATTGAAAAATAAAATAACATATACGTATGTTTTATAAAAATGTTAAATAATTTAATTCAAGAAAATTTCCTATTTTTTTTATAAAAAAGAAAAAAAATTTTAGCAGTGGCAAAGAGTAAAAATCAATGAGAAAATTATACTGTTTTTCCTTTCTTTTTTTTTTTCTGAGTTAAAAATTTTAAAGTGATATAACGCAGAATGTCCGAATAAATTCCTGAATCTAATTATCACATCTATGGGGTGAACGCAATAGCACATAATATAACTCATTTTATGATAAGATCAAATATTTATTTCATTTGCTAATTCCTGAAACCTTTCAATCATTTTAACATAATCCAAAAAAAATTCCTCTTGTGCAGAAATTTTCAATTTTTACTCTCATTGTATCACCTAGAAAAGTTATGCAATATAATTTTAAAACTTTGTTTAAATATATTATTAATAAATGTCTTGCTTATGCTATAAATAATAGTTAATGTAACCATAGAATAATACTACTTCAAGACAAATTCTTTCTTTTAAATATTTCCAAAACTAATTACTAAAAATACGGAAGAAGTAATTGGAGGCAATAAATGAGAGAAGTAAAATGATTTAAATAATATGGTAATAATGAAACAAATTTAACTGGCTGATATAAAACTAAAAAATTGATAATAATAGTTGAAATTTAATTGATGTATAGGAAAGATTGCATATTAGAATGGATTTAAATTGTATAACATTAAAAATAATTGTTGGAAATAGTAATCAAATGCAGCATTGAAATAAATGCATTAAGAAAAAATATGATGAATTAATTTAATGGACAACTCAAGCCGATTAATAAGAATTAATTGATAAATGATTATTTAATTATGTAATTAAATAAGATAAAAGAAAGAAAGGGAAATTACTGGATTTTCATTTTTTTTCTTGTAGTTAAATTTTTTTCCAAAATTTTATTCTTTGAGGAATTGCAAAAGATTGAAATAATGGTAAATATAAAAAAAAAAAAAAAAATTAGGGAAATATTCGAAAATAATAAACCGCGAAAAGATTGTAATTAAAGTTCTAGAAAGCAATAAGAAACAGAAAATATTTGAAGCGATGGAAAAAAGAATAAAGAAGAGGCAAGCAAATATAGCATAATGCGAACAGAACTAAATCTTTTGAGTAATTAATGAGGGTTTTAAAAAAATTCGCAATGATATTATTAAAAGATATATATCATAGAGTAGAAGAGATTATGAAGCAGTTAAGGAAAAAGATAAAATTATTTATCTAATTATTATAAATGACTTCAAATACAGTGGAAAATTCAATCATTAGCAAGCAAAGTGAATTTGGAATTAAAAAATATGCAATAGTGTCAATATTAGAGGGCAAAGGGTAATAGAGCTTTGCTAAGATCGACATAAATGAACGTATTAAAGGAATAATTGTCACAAATATTTGATCATTTTTCAGATTGCTGAAATCAGCAAAAGAAATGAGCCCTATAGTTGAAATAGAAAAAATAATGACAATATGGCCCAAACAATCAATTAATAAACATGCAATCATAATAAATCGATATTGTGAAGGATAAG